ATATATATATCTATATATCTAATATCAGTACGATTGAAAAAGCCTTGTAACAGAATAAAAGGCGAAAACGAATCCAGCACAAAATTGTATTCGCAATCACTACAGTCCGTTACAAACTATCCCATGCCCTTCATACCGCCAGTGCGAGCTGTGACTCAGTAGTATCACGACTGATCCTGCTTACGATCGTAAATATGAACCGACAGTAGAAAGTCTCATTTGCTACTGAATTGTAGCTGAGGATATTCATAGAGTAGAACGTTTTGATACTGTGGAAAGTTCTTGAATGAGTTTAACAAGTCGTAGGAATCGCTAGAACGGGTCGAGGGCTTGTTGAGTGACAGTCAAATCATTCAGGCTTTCAAAAAGATACGCTGAGGATATGAGATAGAAGAAAGAAGAATATTAAGGCAAAACGATAGACCTCGGTGACTTAAAGAAGTTTCAACCTAAAACCCCTCCCAGGGCAGAAAAATATCACCATCCCAAAAGTATTTTGTCTGCATTTCGACTTTGGAACGACCAGTCGATATGCTGCATCAAATTCAATTTTATTATTCAAGGAATACCAAAAAATCTAATGTATCCCAGAAAAGTATGGAAGTTTCCTGTAAGGGATTGGCGGGGGTGAAATGGAAGGGCTTGATCGGAGATTTGATAATGATTAAGCTATGTAAGCGCTGTTCATGGCTTACCCACCTAACCACCTCCCCGCCGCCACCAGCATTGGCACGCAAGAAAGGTTACTAATGCTACGAGTCAAACGTCCAGTAACAGCCTGAAGTTTTGCCAATGAAGACCGAAATGTTTGAAGGCCAAGGGTAAAACATGGCCCACTGGATCCAGGCCGCTTCAGACAACTCAGGTCAGTTGTAGTGCGGATCCGGATATTCCGAGGAAATGAAGCCTCGGCTCTGACAATGAACGAGATAATAATTGAGAGTATGAGTCTAATGGGAGTTTTGGGAGCACAGTGTGATCATTATGCTGAATCAGCCATCAAATAAAAAAACAAATTAAAAAAGAGTGAGTGATCAGGTATATTAATTGTATCGATAGGTATTGATCCGGAAGGAGAACACGAACGCAGAAGTGAGTCACGGCTCGACGTTTGTGCCATTTTACGTCTCAACCGATGAAAAGTCATGACGGCCACAGCGACAGCGGTGGGATGAAAGCAGAGGAAACCGTACTGATAAAGCGAAATTACTGATTAGTTGATAATGAAAATGATCGGAAAGAACATTAACTACTCCTAAAAACTTATAAACAAATGAATGTTTGAAAACGCTCAGTTTCATGGCCAAAAAAAGGACCGAAAAGGAATCAGAACGATTTTGAATTATTTTCCGAAAAAAGTTGAGGTCCTTCTTATTTTTTCGGCAAGAATCGGAAAATGACGTGCCACTCACTCAACACATATTGCTCAATCGTGACTATTATGCTGCCGTACGTTCCCATAGTTGGTGGTAGGGGCGGAGCCCTGAAACCGAAGAGGGGCGGGCTATAGGGGCCATGGGGGCGGTCATAGGAAGAGGGTTGCGTAACAATTGATGGAGAGGCTTAGAGGGTGCAAAAAATGGATTGTAAGTGCAAATGTGCTCTTCTCACGCATGGCCCTTTGAAATGGCCATAAGAGGATACCAAGAAAAAAGGATGATTGTGATTCATGCTCTTTGTGTTATGAATCTTCCAAGAGGATTCTGAACAGTTCCGACAGGGATTATTTGAATTTATTCTAATTCATGATTAATAAAGTTTACAGAAATTAAAGCTGATATAATTAGTTGTGGATATGGACAGATTTCGTATATGTGAGATTTTTTTTATTGAGTTTTATAAAATTATTGGAAAATTGAAGAATAATTTAACTAAATCGATCGATAATTGATCGTTTGACAAAAAACCGTTATAAATCGATAGGCAACGATCGATAATTTTATAATATTTTCTTGAGTGGGCTTAGTTTAGTTCCTGCTCTATTGTTTTGAAGTTTATCCTATGACTATGACTCGAGTATGGTGTAACGCTGTACTGCGCCCTCACTCGTGTGACCCGGGAATTGAATCCTGGACCGATACCCGTCTGGGTCAACCGATGCCGTCCTTGGACGCGCCCCGCATTCTACTTCCATTCAGTGTCGTAGAGCCGTAGTGAATGTGAATGTGTATGTGGCCTATACAATGACTTGCGGTAGCCAGCAGATGTACAAGTCAATGCTTTTATTCAGTGCTTTTATCCTTCTAGCAGGTCTGTTACGTATAAGCCGACCCTGGAGGGATGAAAGGCCTAGATGCCTTAGGCGGATACGATTTGGGAGCCGATCGGACGTTTTTGCGTTAGTGCGCCACTTGCCTCAACACCATCCCTGCCCTTTTCCTAAACTATGAACACGAATTATCGTTAAACCGCTTGTTCATACACTCTAATTCACTAAGAGAGCATTCCATCATCAAATCTACTACAAATGATGTTGAAGGAAAGTTTCGAGGTAGGCAGGAGGAAAGCACTAAAAACCCAGTCTACTGAAAGTTTGAGTATTTCTTTCGGTTGGAAAGCGAAAGTACTGATGCAGAATAATTCACCGTCAGCGAAAAACTTAGAAATTTCGTGTAATTCCCGAAATCGAGGGCCTTTTTTGAACTAGCCTTTCCTGCGTCGAATTTAGGTTATGGCTACAGAAGGCATGTTTGAACGAAATTTCAGTCGCCGCAGAAGAAAGAGGGTAGCTATTACTGTGTACTAGCAGATTGTATACACAACAATCACACCCTCCAATCACACCTTGTACAAGGCCGCTAAAGACAACACCTCCCGTCAAGCTGTGCATTGAGCAGTAGAGGGTAACGGAACCAGTTTTTGAGCCCTTATTACGCCCTATCTAGGCCGCTTTTCGTCCCGACAATGCCCCACGTGACCTTCTCAGTAACCATAGACTGCTATTTTAAGAGATCGTGGAAGCCATTTTCATCGCGACCTTCACTCTGAACAGTATAGACCTATGTCCTTTATGTTTTCCATCTGGTGAGGAATGAGGCCAAGCAAGTAATGGCCATCGGGGGAGCTGATGGATCTGGTCTGACCAGCATAGTTAATGTTGCAGGTCTTGGTCAGAATTGGTGGCCAGTCACTCTGTTATGTGAATCATTCTGAATAGTTATCGTAGGAGTTTCTTAAGGAATTTCCTGTGAATGAACCCACGAACCAGTCATGTGCCTTTGGGGAGAGCTATAACTCCCAGATTGGGGACTAGTGATGGACTACAAATCCAAAAAGAGGCCCATATCTTACCGAAGCAGTAACTCCTACATATAGTTTTCTATAGAAGAAATTGCTATTCTATTGCATAGACACTGATAAGGTCTCAGTTTACAAAAAAAAAGCAAAAAAAAAAACAAACAAAAACAAAAATCTCATTGGAACAGTTACTGTTGAACTGAACGACACCAACAGAAAGCTACTCATAACAAATTCCGTACTACTACAGCTACGAACTCGAGGAATGCATGAAGATGAGTAGGGGACAAAGGATTTATTCATGAGGGAATTCTACGACGTAACCAAACAAATAAAGATGGGCCCCTCATGATGATATACGACGGTTCCCTTGGTCAACAACTGTCATCACAAGGTAAACAGAACAACAAAAAGGAAACGAGTGGTGAAAATAGTCGTAATGGAAGAGAATTAAGATATTGGAATAATGAAAAAAATCAAAAAAAAANAAAAAA